AACTTAGAGGGGGGGGGGGCATGCAAAATTATTATCCTAAATTACTTGTATATTCAATACAACATGTTTGATATGTATAAAATTCTTTGAACTACTGTTTTAAATTTTATTTTGAAGATATTGATGCATCGCTAGGGTTAAATGTTTAAACGTTTAATGCACACTTTTTTTTATTCCAGAATTTTGCATCTGATTCATGAGATCGTCCAAGACATCAGCACTACAGCACTGCTAACCCTTATTGACTTATTTAGAAAACAAATGTAAACTAGACGCTCAGAGAGCGCTTACATGGGCTTCCTGAAGCAATTTCCAATTGAGATGCATTTTCATGGAGAAAATAAAGTCTGGAGCCTATCTATTTTCATCAATATTTGATTTATTACTTTTCCATACAACCATTAATGRAGGTTTGTTTTCTAGCAATGTTATTTTTTATTTGAGTATTAAAAATCTGTGTTTCAGGAACAATTCAGATTTAGAGAAGTTGCATTGCGAGTCACTTCTTTCAATTGCAATGTAAATGTATTTGTTGTCCTATAAATATTGCAGGTTGTAATGATCAAATAAAAAATAGAATAAAGGGATTTTGCAAAACAGCTCTCAACAATGTTTTGTGATTCTGCTATATTGTTTTTATCAGCTGTTTGATTGTTTGCTATAGCTATAAGAGCAGTAGCAATTTTTRTGCCTTAATTCAATGTTTCTGTAAACMCATTTAAACTTTGAAAAGACTGCACCAAATTGTTTGTAGACGATACATGAAATAGCACAAATTCCCTTGTGGATGACTTTTTCTATATTTCTCTAGCATGAGAGTCAAATACCTTATATGAGCAGTTTAATAATAGTGAATAACAGTGAATAATATCAACCCCAATGCAATCAACAAAGATAAATGATCTTTATTTATTGTGATATCAATATCACAAAAGCTCTTTTAAGTCCTATACAAAATTTATATCCATAATTTTTACCATGTATAAAGTACCAGTGTAGCTTAGACAATAGTCTAGTTGATAATTTTGATCTAGTACTGTAAGCATTGTAGGCAATTCTGTCAACATTAAGAACAAATGTTGTGCTTATTGTGATAAATTGTTGTAGAGCTCATTTCCAATGTGCAGGATTTGTTTTAAATCATTAGACTTGTGTATTCCTTTCATTTCTTTCATATAGTGAATGCACATAGACTTTTTGCAACACATTTTGACCAGCATAAAATATTTAACAAATAGATCTCATTTTTCCGTGCGTGTGTACTCTAATAGATACACAGATGACGTCAAAATGTAGTGAGAACAAAAAAGTACGCAAGAGACGCAGTCGAGTGCGTGACTGTTGTTCTCACTACATTTTGACGTCATCTGTGTATCTATTAGAGTACACACGTACGGAAAAATGAGATCTATCTGTTTTATACAACAAACAAATTAGTTTTGACGTAATCCGTGTATCTATACTTTGATAACACACGAAAGCCAACCAATCAAAACGTCTGATTTTACTGAAAAGCTGTATAACCCTAAATATCATGTTTCTTTGTCTGTATGGTGCCTGAACACTAGGGTCAACATTGTACACTGTACAACATTTGAACAACATTTTTCTTTGTCATTGAAAACCCATGCACTACATGCAAAAACGGGGAAAGATGCTAAGCTTTCAGTCAGGCTTTGAGTAGTTGGAAACTTGACTGTTTCATACAGTCAGTTTGCATTGTATGTCAGTTTTAGGTGGGTACTGATATTCGAATGATTTGAGGTTTTGTGTGAACATTATAACTTTGCTAAGATCGTGGACCGCGGCCCGTTCCGTAGCTCACCAGGTTTATCCACGCTTCAAACAATATGATGTACCCGTACTCATGTGACTTTCTGACAGGTTTTTCGCAGAACTTGTACAGCAATACAAAAGAAAGACATCGGACGAATAATCAAAAACCGGTTTAAACTAGTTTTTTTGCGGATGCGTCATGCCAGATGGAATCTTCAAGTGGTTTACTAGTATAAACAGGTGTAGACTGGTTTTTGAAGACCATTATACTAAAGTAGTTTTACTGCACGAAATTGAAGCGTGGCGGTCCAGCTAAAATTAGAAATTAGTTCAAGTCATAATGCATCCTCACTTTTAAATACCTGGTTTGGATGAATATTTTTCAGTCATTTCTCCCAAATAATGCGTTTTCAATGACTTCAACAAAACGTAGCCGTGAATTTAAGAGTAAAAATGTCTACATAATCCAACCTACAGCTATAAATGAGAACAAATCGACATGATACAGCTTTTGTTTCCGGAAAAAGGAAGGGAAAAATGTAGTTAAAGTCAGCATACATTACAAGCCAGTGTTCAGCCTTAGCTTGTTTTGTTTTTGTTTTTATGATAATGATTGCGGTACTCCTTAAAACATCTATTAATTTTTGCAAAGTGTCCGTTTAAGGTACGTGTGAAAGTGAAAGGTGATGTTTTTACTTAGCGAAATTATTAGTCTATAGCTAGCCCGGCGTTATTACTTGATGTGATCAATCTATGATTTTGGTGGCGTTTGTACCACAGGAAGCCCAGARGTCAAGCGTCCTATCTCCAAGTCGCATCATTGCACATTAGTAAATTGAAACGTCAGTATAAGTTATTTCACCTACTTTTTTACGGTGTTAAATTTATCTCTTTACATAACTGTTACGTTTTGTATACGTTTTTTTTAATCCTCTCATGTTGTCGCGGTTGTTGGACGCGGAAAAAGCGAAAACTTCCGCCCCTCACAATGATAAAAAGATAAGCTGTAGGCTACAACTACCAGAACGCTTTACCACTACACCTTAATCATCCTCATAGCGGATCAAAATCTTATAGTTGTCAAATAATTCCATCACGCAAATTTTCTGACACTGAAAAGCCATTTTTTGCGCGATAATATGCCTAAGCTTAAATTCATATCGACTTTATCGACTTTTTTTTGTTTGCGTTGGTTATTAATTCTTTCTTCGTTTCGTTGCAAATACGAAAAACCGCCAATACTTGGAGCGCTCCCACCTTCACAGATACAGTCAACTCTCGCTATTACGGCCACCCTCGGGACCGTAATTTAGTGTCCGGAATAGCGAGAGTCCGTAATAACGGGTGTTACTTTTAGTCATTTCTTTGTATTTTTCGCCAAGGATTCAGTATTTCGTGTCCGTAATATCGAGGTGTCCGTTATAGCGCGGGGTGTCCGAAAGGCGAGAGTTGACTGTATTTGTGTTCCCGTCGCCTGCTGGGGCTGGTGGGTTCGAGGGGTGAATAAAGTCGGTTGCGTAACAATAAATCGACTACATTTGTTTTGCATGGATTTTATCCGCTGAGTGAATAATACTATTCATCTTTCGTAACCGAGGAGTTTTAAGGTTAAACGTTCGCGCATGCTCGTTGTCTCTCGTTGTCTGTTTACAGGAAGAAATGTCGAAATGCATGATGTGCCATTTTTCACTTGCCATCTTGACTAAAGATAGCCAAGTCTTTGCTTCAGAGACATACTATTATATCCTTTTGGTTCATACATAGAACAATCATTCATTCACATGCAGCTATCTTCATTTCAAACTGCACCGCCGTCTTGCTTTGGTAGCCTGCGTATCAGGCTCTCGCGAAGGAGATTAGGGTTGAGTAACATTAGCCCCAATCCCCTTTGAGAGTACCCGATACTGATGGCTCAGCTCAGCTAAGATGGCGCTGGGGACTGAAAATGGAATATTATTTGTTATCTTTAAATGCGGGATGTAATTCGCGTGTTTAGACCGTATTTACAAAAACATCGTATCAGAGAAAGAAATTTTTACATTTAGGAATTAGTAAGAATACAATAGAAAGTGTTCAGCTTCAGAGGTCATCTCTTTTCTATTTTGATATTTTCCTAAGTTCCTAATCCCTAAATCTTATGCAAGACAAGGTTTTTATGCATTTAGGTGGTATACATTGAGTGCGTATTTTTGCAATTCAGGTATTAGCACATGTAAGTCAGTATTCAAGACAAGAGAAACGGAGTCAAAATCCAATTCGTAGTTACATTCATTTTTTTTTTTTTTTTTTTGAAATTTAAATTATACTATTTTGTTTATAGTACATTCAACAAAATAATACTTTTTCATTGGTCGAGAGGATTTCAATTGCAGCGTTAATTATACTCCTTATCAAATTTTGTTTCACTGAATGTAAAAATCGCACAATCTCTCGTATAATTTGGAATTAATAGTCACTTGTAATGTTTTGAAGGTTCTTTCAACACATTCTTCGTGACTCATAATCCCAAATTGTACTCAAGGTCGTGCGATTTACAAATTTGCCGAAAACAAGCTAACTATGACGAAAATAACAGAATTTGTCGTTAATTTAGCATATGTATTTGTGTCAAAAGCATTATTCGCATTATTCAAAGGATTTTAGCAAATATTCAATTCCCAGCGTACATTTGGCTTTAGTAAATAAAATGGAGGCGTGTTTCAAAAGTATCGATTCCAAGCCACTTCTGAACTTCTATTTTACTGTTCATGTTTGGTTATAATCAAGACTTTTTTAAAAGTTGACTAATTGAGCCATGATGATATCAATTAAATTTTCATTTTGTAACACGAATTTTGCCTCCATGCATTAGATCGACTATGTTGTTGCTCACGTTCTACAGGTACCCAATCAGTGAGGTGCAAACATTGTAGTGCATGCCAGCTTAGTTGCTGGCAGTTCGACAGCAAAAACCGAGTGAATGATTATATTTTACAGTTGGCCATACAATAGCGTCTTTACGATGCCACAACTTATGTTGATAAATAAAAACGTTGGCCTTTGCAAGTTAGTGAAAAGTGACAGCAGACAAAACAACAAAATGCGTAATATATTCACACGTCACGAAATAATTAAGTAATTATTCCGCTTATAAGAACCTAGATTGGTGCAACTAATCCCAAGTATAAACGGTATTTAGGTTCATACTTTTGTAATAAATAAGTAAAATATCAGGAGATTGGTACAAGAACCCGCCAAAACTGGACTGGTTTTTCCACAGAATATTTGCCTTAAGATCTTTAAGTTTCACATTCTAAAATAAAAACCTGCTTAAAGTTTAGGATAAATAAAAGAGTGTCAAATTGCTATTTGTATACTACAGGTTCTATAGTTTCTTAAATGCTGGTGGCACTTTGGTGTATATTCACATGGCGTAACATTTTAGGCGTAAGAATGCTAATTCTATTTTTGGCGCGCACAACTGTTAAACTTGAACCAAATAAAACTTCCGTTACGTGCATTTTTGGAGACATTCGAAACGTAGCACACTATGGAAGCATGCCACATTTTGGGGGGTCCACTTGCGCAGGCTCTTCAAGTTATGTCAACTCTATCTGCTTGTTGGCAGTGTTTTTGAACTTACTGTATATAACTTTACTTTTGTCCATAMTCAATAGAGCGACACTTAAAACCTTAAAAGGTTTTGGCCCATTTAGCCACAGGTCTTAATTAACCAACGTTTTAATTTCCAAGGAGCTAGACCAATGATATTCTTATAATTTGCGTGTTCGTTGCTAATGTATACGGACGTGGATGGACTCGGCTGGGCTCATTTAAGTGCTGA